GTAGAGGCAGGTCATTGATACCCAGTTTACTATCCCAGAATTTTTAATTACCGTAAATGCTGGCGTATAAGACGACTTCCGCGAGCGCTGAAATCGGCGCCAAAGACTGGGGTCATCTCATACGCCGAGTCGTCTTATACGCCGGAAATACTGGTAGTTTCCGGCGTATAAGACGACGTTCTAGGAATGCGGCCCGGCTATAAAGACGGGGGTCGTCTTCTGGCATATACGGTATCTTCTGGCCATTCGGAGTTTGCTCTTGATAAAAGTATAAAAGAAGAGAGTCTTTCCATGCTGTGTGTGTGTGGGGGCATGCACGACATTATTAACTGGAAAGAGAACAATATATTTAGTAAGATCCAGAGTTTCCCTAACCTCTTGACATTTCTAATAATCTAAATTCTGTGCTGAATAGCGAAAAAAGAGGGAGCAAAAAGATGGCAGTGTTAGTTTGCCAGCCACAAGCAATTCTGAGAGAGAAGAATCTTAAAATCAATGGGAGTTTCTGCGATTCTCCATTGTGGGGATTTGAGCTTATGTGAAAAATACATTTGTTTTTCCTAGCATTTAACATAGATTTAACCGTGCCAATTGAACACTTAATATTTTATTGGCCCTTCTGCAGTGTAAGGGTCTTAGACATTGTTAGATGCTGATTCAGGTCTAGCTTTCAGCATCATTGGATGTTATTAAATACCTGGGCTGTTTGACATAATTACATTTTCTTCAGTTCAGAATGTTAGAGAATTATTATCCAGGTGTCTGACAACACAAATCAATTCCTTTCCCCTGTCACAGGGCCTAACGCTGCACCAACGAGCTACAGAAAAGCGATCGTCTAATCCTCCAACAGTCCAGTCGTTCTTGGCCCAGCAAAGATTGGCCACCAATAATCGTCGGGGTCACCTGAGCCGAACTCAGCCCTTGTTGCTTTGATACAGATGAGTCGCCTTTACGGATTGTGATCTGGAAAAGCTGTTTAGTGCATGTGTGCTTTGAGTTTATCCAAAAGGAGGGATGAATTCGAGCTCTTAATCTGTGCAGTGGTGTCTGTTTGGGAATTCCAGCCTCCGTCCATATTGCTGAGAGTAATTTTCTGCTGTTCAAGAGTCCTTCTTCCCTGAAACCAGACAAATGTGGCCTGGGGCAGCCAAGGATTGACTTTTCTCCAGCAAATATAAACTCAACCTGACTTTCTTTTTACTCCACACTGCTAGGAGCTGTTGTAAAACAAGTTCCCTAGAGAAGTGCTCTTCACCACTACTTGGTCACCCCTCCTCTTGCATTTTACATGATGTGTGTGCTATGTTAAAAGTTTATTTCATGCTACAGGGAGGATATTTTAAATTTCTGGTAGATTGGCTCTCTTTTGCTACAGTGAGAATACAGGCTCGCTCTGCCCATCTTGAGAATTGAATGTACAAGGGTGAGGTAATAGCTCTGAATGTGAACTTTTGATTAGGGCTCGGGTCCTGTGACAACTCGTAGCAGCTCCGACAGCTTCCCCTTCCATTGTGGCAGCACCTAACGCTCACCAGACCTAGCTTTGCTTAATGGTTACCTTCCAAGAAGGGATTAGTGCAGAAAAAAAACACAAGTTGAATCTCTATAAACACTACCTAGATACAGACTTAAAGAAAAGGGAGCTTGCAGTCCTGCCCATGGACCGTTTGAGTGTATTCCTACAACTATACTGTTTTCACAGCAATATTTAGGGTCTGGTGCTTTTATTTAACCAAAAAAAAAAGGGTACTCTGTTTTATTCTGTTAGTATGCCTTGTCTAATTTTGGATCACCCTTCCATCCTGGAAGTTGTAAGAAGCTGTTTCCTTTTAAAATCTGTTCTTTAAAGCGTGTTTTTATTTTTTAGTAAATATAGTTTTACTGCTGTAAATTATACATTTTGTAAAGCAATTTGTTCATCTGGGCAGGTCTCTGCCTCTTTATTTTTCTATTGGACAGAAGCCTGGCATGCAACGTTGAGGGAGGGTGACAGAATATGTCTGTAGAATCTTTTCATTACAAATAAAGGTTCTAAAATGTACTTTGTCATATTATTGTTCTAATAGTGCTGATGTCCCAAAGGCTAACTTCCTATACCATGCCTTAGGAATTATTTTAAAATTAAACCTTTGTCTTCCTATGTAAAATAAACAAATGGCATATATTCCTTTGGTCTGGTCTTTGGGGGGAGGGGAATCTGAATTTTAGGATCTAAGGTCTTATATTATCATCAGATAAATTCCAAGATAGGACCCTTTTTTGTTTTTATTGCCATCACGCAACCATTATTATTGCCACATAGTCAGTAGTAATTTTTTGTTCAGTGCATGTTATTTTCAACTGAGAAGCAACAAGAAATATCTCTTAAAGAATTTCATGAACTATTTTTGGCAGCAGTGTGGCTTTCCAAGGCATCCAGTGTTGGAAAAACCCTGCTGTTGACATCAACTCTTAGTTAAGAGAACGCTAACTCTCTTGATAAGGAGAATTACCATAAAATCATAACAGTAGTATTGCCTACTGCAAAATATTTGACAAATATTTGATAGAGCAGAGTTGTCCAATCTTTCTGGCTTTGCAGCCTCGGCAGGGGGAAAGGGATGGTTCTGCATGAGTGGTGGGCAAGTGTGCGGACACACAGCTCCATTTGCACAAGGATGGGCATGCACTCTTGCTGCTTGCACAAGTGGGGATGCCTGCCACTTCTGTGGCCTGGTTCTGAATGGCTCAAGTCCCGGTAGCGGGCTGTGGCTCAGAGGTTGGGGACCTCTATGATAAAGAGTACTGAATATTTTGAGAGACAGGTGTTTCTGAAATTATGTATTTTTTTTTTGTTTCAGTATAGTAAATTATTGACATAATAAGGAAAATGAAAGTTCTTCCTGCCTTTCAGACAGGATTTGAATAAAATTTGTCTGCTTTAAGGGAAACAGAGTCTTGAAGAATTCTGTCTGTACCGTCTCTAGATCATTCCAGCACTCTGACAACTCTAGATGGCTTAGAGGATATATGAAAGATTAAAACAAGCAGAATATGTTATCTTCTGGAAGTCTCTGAAGTCTTTTTCATCCTGTAATAACTGGACTCCCAGCTTTGTTTTTTTTAAACAATTTATTTTAAATAAGAAATTCAGTATGTTGCATCCCTTTAGCGTAATCTGAGAAGTAAGCCCTCTTTAATAAACTTGATAATATTTATAGAGTCTGATTTTCAAGTTTTCTGGGCTATGTACAAACCACAATATTTTACAAAATTATCTAGCTTTGAAATGAAAAGTGAAACTAGCATTAACAACCTTCATCTTTTATATCAAGTTTGATTATAAATATTATAGACTAGTGTCTGTGACACACCAAACATTTTGAATTTCAAACACACCCTGCCCCAAGCCTAGAACAGCTGTTCTGCCCAAATTGAAAGAGCACCAGTCTGGCGTTTTCATATCTCAACATTGTCATTGAAGTATTTCCAGTGATATTTCAAAATTGAAATGTTTTGCTTAGCAGTATAATACATGGCATAAGATTAATATAGTACTTGCATTTCCTTCCTTTGTATCATGGAACTCGCAGTCCTATATACAGTATAAGGTTCTAGTATGCTTTCCTGGTCAGTTTCAGCAAGGTTACTGAATTATATCCCTTTACTTCTTTGGCCACAATAATTTTTGTTCTTGCTGCTGTTTGCACCAATACAAATAAGTCCATTTTTTTCTTCAATTTTCCACGTCTAATGAGTCAGCTTTGTGCCAAATTAGGCTATCCCTAGTTGCACAGCTCTTCTTAAATGAAATTAATCACCACAATGCCCCATTAAAAGTGTTCAGGCTCAGTGTTCATATGCTATAGGTCAGGAGCCCCAACCCCTGGTCCACAGAATGATATTGGTCCGTGACCTGTTGGGAACCGGGTTGTGTAAGCAATGGGCACGCATGCAAAACCATCCCCAGCGGGGCAGTGCCACCACTGGTCTGCAGAGCCGAAAAAGTTGAGGACCACTGCTATAGTTCACTTGAATATAAATAATGTCCTCCAATATGAGGATTTGCTATTCTAGAGCTTAGGCATGATCAAACTATATTTAATTAAACATTTATCTCTTCCAAAAACAATGCCAAATCTATGAAAATAGGAAAAGCACCTGAGCCTGATGAGTATTCTTATACATTTGAATAATGCATCTATTGACAATTGTATTGCCCTGGGACACAGGTCGGCAACCTGCGGCTCCGGAGCCGCATGCGGCTCTTTGAGCCTCCCCCTGTGGCTCCCAGCCTCCTCTGCCTTTGCAGAGAGAGACAGAGACAGAGAGAGGCAATTGCACTTCCCTGCTTCTCTCTGTGTGTGTGTCTATCTGGGTGTGTGTGTTTTGTGTGTGTGTGTGTGTGTGTGTGTGTGTGTGTGTGTGTGTGTGTGTGTTGACTCAGGAATTCTGGGAGTTGAAGTCTATGAGTCATAAAAGAGAGGAGGTTGCCTACCCCGGAGGTTGTTGGACAACAGCTTGAAGCTTGCCAGGTGAGCAGCAGATAGGAGGGGGGGGGAGAAAGAGAGAGAGAGAAAGAGAGAGAGGGGGGAGAGAGAGAGAGAGAGAGTGGGGGAAGAGGAGTGGCAGACCAAGGGCAGAGAGAGAGAGGGGGAGAGAGAGAGAGAGAGAGTGGGGGAAGAGGAGTGGCAGACCAAGGGCAGATAGAGAGGGAGGGAGAGAGAGACCCTTTTGACATCTAAAATGAAGATAACACTGCATATATCCTTTTTTTACCTGTGTGTGTATGTAATTTTATTCTCTTAAAGCATTCTCTTGGTGATCATTGTTTTAATAGTATGGATATTCCCAAGAGTCATATTTTTACTTTTATTTTTAATGTGTATATGTGTGTGTGTGTGTGTGTGTGTATACACACATACACATACACACACACACACACACACACACACACACATACACATACCTATAATAAAGGTAAAAAAGGATATATGCAGTGTTATCTTCATTTTAGATATCAAAAGGGTTTTGCGGCTCTCAGTGTTTTGTTTTTGGTGGGAAACGGGTCCAAGTGGCTCTTTGAGTGTTTTGGGTTGCCTACCCCTGCCCTAGGAATACTAGAGGTTTATAATGAGTCCCTTTAAAATCTAGTTTTCCCAGCTTCCTTCAGTAAGTCTTACGTAAATCTTCTAAAGGCTGGTAGAGACCTAAGTATGCAGGTTATTTAATGAAAGTGTCTCTGGCATGAGCAATACAAACAATACATCTCTGCCATTCTTCCTGTTCTTTCCAGGGGCCAGAATAACATTTAAAAATGACAAACATTTGGCAGAATGACGTTACCCGCTACTTTGTTAAAGGTGTAAAGAATTGCAGTAAGATTGAAAGTATTCAAAAGTCTCAATGTTTTACAAACAAACCATTTAATAAAACATAAAAACATAAGCCTTAAATCAGTTGATTATATAGGGTTGTGGGGGGGGGGGAAGGTGCCATAGAATTCATTTACACCTCTTGGCTTTTTCCTTCTCAGTTTTATCTTGAGAAAAAAAGAATGAGAAAGATTTCACCAACACTGCAAAGCAGTATGATATTCGTATCTACTCTATGTTCGTACGTAGTCTATAAAGTTAAAAGCAAGGTTTAAAACTAGCATTTTCTTTGGTGGGAACAGAGTATTTGCTAATGAAATTCAGAGTGTCTCAACAACCCCTGTCTTAAAATTCCCCCAAGCCCCTGCCACAAAGGTGGTTTTTACAAAAGTAGATTCACTTCTGCTGGTCCTTCCTTTCAGAGTCTTCTTCCAATAAGATCACCATAACAAGATGTCCCCGGCAGTAACTCCATCTATCTGTGGATACTCAATAACTGGGTCATGCCATATTTTCCTCTTCAATGGGGCTCTGCAGCCATGGGGGATAGCCGACCCCTTTGCTGGGCACCTCCTTTGGGTTGTGAAAGAAAGAAGTGTCTGAAGAGTCATGTTCTAGGAGAGGCCAGGACAAGACATTTGTATTAACTGATGTATCCACAAGGGGCTCTGGATCATGAGGTGCAGCAGTAACATTCTCCTGGCCCGATGCACTCTGAGAAGGTTCACCCAGCTCAACAATGTGCGACTCAGGAAGAACATTGTATGCTTCCTTTCCTGGGCTGCCGGTATCGTGGTCAGAGTCTCCCGCCCCTTCAGGGATGAAGGGAATGCTGTTACTGCGCATCTGCTGACTGGCAGGTCGGGTACACGTGCAGTCAAGGGCCTGCATGTCCTGACAAAGGCAGCTGTAGGTGGTTGATGGTTCTGAAACACAGCTGCTCTTGCGCTTCAGCAGAGAGAGACGGCGTCCAAAACCTCCTGAGGTAGGAGCAGTAGAGAACAGTCGGTTCAAGAGGTGGGCAGGCACATGGCGGCTCTCTTCAAAGCTCTCGGCAATCTCCTCCAAAGGCTGGAATTGCATATCCTCCTTGGCCAATCTGGAAAGTGAGGACAAGCGGTTGAAGGAATTTGTTCAACCATTCAGCACTAACCGTAGATACTTCCATTACTAGAAAGTAACAGGGCTTTCCTCAAGTGGGAAATGCATAGTCACAGTGCTTGTACAATTACAGTCTTAGCAATGGGGAGCTTCACGCGCACTGGGAAAAGATTGATCTATCCCAAACAGGGAAAACCCAAACGGTTCATCCCTTGTGCTCCCCCTTGCTTCTTTACCAGTTAATCATTTATTATTATTATTATTATTATTATTATTACTACTAATAATAATAATAATTTTTGTGCTGCACAAAGAGAAAAATCCTTACGTCACATCAAAAGTGGAGCCTTGGAATGACGGCTGTTGCAGCAGAAAAACTGTAGCTGCCGTATAGGGGGCACGTGGGTTTGAGGCATCCCAATACTTATCCTTCTCCAGGAGAGGCAAATCCGCATACATCTCATCCACAGCCATCATGGAGACCTTCAGAAGAAAACCAAACATGAAGAATCCCTTTTGCAAGCAGACAGTACTGGCATTTGCCTGTCTGTTTGTCAATATGTATCTAGGATATGTATGTACTGGGGTAGGAAGGGATAAGAATCTCAACTATTGGACCATGGAAAAATTCAGCTCCACTGAACATTGCTTTGTCAATTCTTAGCAGAAGAGGAGAGGTTGGGGGGGGGTTTACCTGGAAGTTCCTGTCGATCAGTAAATTGGTTTCAAAGTCATCGTCATCCTCTCCAAAAGGGTTGATGAGTTGCTCAGCCACCTGCAAAGATCCATAGTGAGACAAAGATTGCTCCCCTCTCAGTCTCTGTTTCTAACCTTGTACAGAGCCTCCCAATCTTCTGCCAATTATACAAATAGATGGAGAGAAGAAGCTAAACCTAGAACTAAGAAGAAATGTCCTAACAGTTAGAACAATTAATCAGCGGAGCAACCTGCCTCCAGAAGTTGTGAATGCTCCAACACTGGGAGTTTTAAAAAAGAGATTGGACATTCATTTGTCTGAAATGGTATAGGGTTTCCTGCCTGAACAGGGGGGTTGGACTAGTCACTAGGACCTCCAAGGTCCCTTCCAACTCTCCTGTTCTGTTCTGATCTGATCTCTTAGCTGTTTTTCCTCTGCCCCAAATTGGATTCACTGGCGTATCATCCCTGAGCAATTCTCTACAGCAATGGTTCTTAACCTTTTTGAATGAATCGCCCCCTTGAACCAATGAGGAAGTTGTCATCGCCCCTTCCCCCAACATAACCTCTCAATCACAACTTAGGAAATAATTCTTCAATTTATGCAAACACTTTTTTTATTTTCTTTAAAATTGTCATCAGGACATACAATGCAAATAATTTATTTCCAGTCTTTTTCCCATATCTCAACTGTGTGAAAAATTTTGGTGCCACCCTTCACTTTATTCCCAAACTTCGTGATACATGTATTTCATTATTATCTTATTTATTCAAGACACTTAAATATAATGACCACTGAAAACAAAATTCAATTGCAAAAAAGTGAAATGCCCGAAAAGAAAAACAGTAACATTTAATGATTGAATTATAAGTGAAATAATAGTTCTTCCCCAATCTCTTCATTTCCGTTGATGAAACGGACATAAGCCAATAACAAGGCTTCATTTTCACGAATTGTTGACTCGTCAATCTGCACCACGAATTCTGTATTTTTCAAGATGTCAATAAGTCTTTCTTCCACATCAGCAGCCATTTCATCAATTCTTTTTGATATGGTGTCATTGCTCTAAGGAATCGATTGCGTGATAGTGCTTGCGCTGGGCCCCAACATGGTGGCAACAATCTGTTTCACTGCTGGTAAAACCAGTGTTTCTCCAATAGTGTGAGATTTGCCACATTTTGCTATCAACAATGATACTTCATAGGAAAAATGAGCCCCTTGTCGGTGTTGAGGGATGATTTTCCAAATAACTTCCCAACAGTGCTGTGACCCTCAAACTTAGCCTTTAAAGATTGGAAAAACAATGCTGGTTTGTTGGCTTCTCTGAATGAATTCTTACCAAATGGTCTTTCAGTCAGGAAGGCTTCATCGCTTCATTTGAAAATGTTTTCTCACAAAGAAGACAAAACGGAAGCTGTACATTGGAAGGAGATGGAATGAATCCCAATTTTAGGTATTCCATCAAATATTGGCGACACTTCCTCTTCTCAGCTATGTTGAGAAGTCTTCGAAATGAAAGGCACTACCTGCAAATTAAATTCTCGACTGCACTGGAACACTAGAAAAACACACATGGACGTCGATAAACCTAGCTTCAACAGTCACATTGACATTACAGCTGACATCACAGGGGACAGCCACTCAGCATGCAATGTTTCGAAAGAAGCGCTCCCCCTCCATCACTGCCCATTCTGGCCAATGGCACGCCACTGTATGGGTAGAGGCTGCTACGCAACAGGCATGAAGATAAGCGATGCATATTCACATATGTACGGCATTCTGTACTGAAGCTAGCTGGAGGAACGTTTGAAAACATAATTCAATCCACTAATAGCGAGTGATCTGATGTTTTTGTACAACATACTGTACGAAAAAGTCTCAAAAGTGTCCCCCAAACTTCTCGCTCCATCACCCCCATACCGCCCCCTTTTCATTCCTTCGCCCCGTGTCGCCCCTTTTCGTTCCATCGCCCCCCTGAAAAATGAAATCGCCCCCTGGGGGGCGATATTGCCCAGGTTAAGAACCACTGCTCTACAGCAGCCTTCCAAGGTAAGGGATTTCAGTCATTCCCTCCTAAAATTAATCATATTGGTTCTCAATATTGAAAGGACTGGTTGGCAGCCAGAGTAGTTGGAGATAATGAGGACTCTTGTTGTCCCAAAGGTGCTTTTTCCAAAAGGCAACTGGACTTTCTTGATTTTTTTTCCCTTTGGAAACATTTCTCATCCAAGAAACATCCAAGAATTGAAGAAGCTTCTTGGATAAGAAGTGAAAAAGAAAAAAAAAAAACTAAGGAAGTCCAGTTGCCTTTTGGAAAAAGCACCTTTGGAACAACCATGACCTGGATGATTGAGAATCTCCATAGACAAGAACTCCTGTTCAACACATCTGGGCAAGATCTGCTTGAAGAAAGCCATGTAGGAAATGCTCCAGCAATCACTACAAATTAACTAGCTCCATTCTATCCTACCTTGAGCCATCCAAAGTAGAAGAAAAACTGAAGCAGAGTGAAAACAGGAATCCACAGGTCTAGGTCATGTCCTTCATAACCTTGGGCTGGATCGAGGAACTGCCTTCCAATTAGACAAGAAAAGAAGAAGCTATATACAGCAATGGTAACCACCTATGAGAGCAAAGAGAAAAGGAAAATGAAAAAGTGGAGAGCTTCTTTGCTCAGATGAAAGGGTTTTTTATTACAATAATTACTGTAATATGCAATTTGGAGTGCAGTTTAATCCTTGCTTAATCATCTGTCATTCAGAGAATTAGGTGTGCTAAGAAATAGAACATATTTTCAGTCTCTTTTTAGGTCAATGTTAATATAAGAAATTATGATGATTCTAATTTTCAGATTATACATTTAATTCCATGATAATTTAAAAACCCCAAGATAATTTACCATTCCCTATTTAGTTACCAGTGGGAATTAGGTCTATATCTCATGTAACACTGAAAAATAGAACAGTAAAATTTTCCCCCCACTTATCCACCAATAATTTATGCAGAAAGGCACTGATAACTAATTTAAGTACCATTAGTTACTTTTTTTATCATCCTGAGTACATTTCTTAAGGCAGTGATTGCAAACACACAGTTAAAGTAGGGCTATTCTAGAGTAAGTTAAATATCCTTGGATTACTAGGTTGTAAAGGATAGATTGTAACTCTGTAGATAAGATGTTAGGTTGCTGGATGTAATTAACCAGTAGGCAGACTAAAATTAAGTGTCCAGATAAACATACTTGATAAACATGTCGGCCATAAGGGAACTTCTGCTCTGATAAAGTTATTGTGCAGCCAAATACTCTGACATAGAGTATATATTATCCATAGCACTCATGACACGCCTGTGTTTCACATCTTAAAGTGTGAGAGTTTTAAAATATTCTAAATAATGATTCTCAACCTGTGGGTCGGGACCCCATTTGGGGTTGAACGACATTTCACAGAGGTCGCCAAATAACGCAGTCCACCATTTTTCCCCCTTTTCCTTAGCTGTGCTACTCCCTTTTATTCTATTGGCTTTTGAAAGCCAATAGAATAGACTCTCTTGAATAGAGTCTAATTCTATTGGCTTTCAAAAGCCAATAGGAATTGTCCAGGCTGTCTCTGCCCTACTGAGCCCGCCAAAAATCCCATTCTGCAAACGGTGCTGCAAGTTGTCCGCAGCGAAGGTGAGCTGTCTGGAAGTTTCCACCCCTCCCTGCTGAGCAACTACTAAAAATGTAAGTAAAAGAGGGCCAGGGGTGGGAGGTGGGAGGTCAGCGGGCGCAGGGAGGGTTGCTGGCACGGGTGGGGCACGGTGGGTGCCTTACCTCCCTTGGGCTGGGCCAGCTGGTGGCCCAGCTGGTGGTCAGCCTGCTCCGTCTCTGCCACTTGCCAGCTACGCCTCGACCGGCGCAGAGGGCGGCACCACACATGCGCGGCGCTCCCGGGCAGGGAAAGTCCTCAACTTATGACCGGTTGTTTAGTCCTCGACTTACGACCGGTTGGGGGGGGTCGCGGCATTAAAAAGATTGAGAACCACAGTTCTAAACGTACCAATTCTGCTCTATTGCCAGTTTTAGCTGTGGCTTTGGTGGCTTGCTGGTTTTAGACTTTGTACACTATCTTTCAAGGCAAAAGCTTCCTTAGGCAGTTACATGAAATGAAATGAAATAAAATAAAATAAACCTATACTACATTACATATGTAATCATTCTGTCAATAATCCATAATTCAAACTTGACTAAGGTTTTAAAGCAGACAATTTTTAAAACAACAGCAACATACTAATTATGCTTGAAACTATGATAATGATTTTGGCTACCCAAGAATAAGCTATAATAAAATCAAGGGCAGATTGTACAAAGAAGAAACTGTGGATCGTATACTCAGCTCATACAAGAAGATCACACAAACTGATTATAAACACAACATAACATATTCAGGAAAATGATTCACCGAGCTTCTATAAAAATTACTGTGCACCAATAATGAAAAATTAGTGGGAACATAGACTTGAAAAAAGTAGTAAAAAAGGGCAGGTTAAAATATTGTGGGATTTCCAAATACAGTGTCTTGGCTCATAACACACCAGATATAACTATGGTTGAAAAGAAGAAAAGAAAGTGTGGGTAACTGATGTGGCAATACCAGAGGACAGTAGAATAGAAGGCAAATAATTGGAAAAGATCAGAAAGAATCAAAATGTGAAAATTAAAACTGAAACCGACTTTGATGGTCCCAGTGGTTATCAGCACGCTGGATGCCATACCAAAAAATCTTGGATGCACTTAGTGAATGTGTGTGTTGACAAAATTTCCATCGATTGCAAAAGACCACATTGCTTGGATCCACACATATATTACATAATGTGTTATAAGATCCTCAATTCAATGCATATGAAAACTGCTGCGTCCTGGGCCTGATGAGGCAGCTCAGCAGACTCAGAAATGTTGCAAATGGTCCCGGGCAACCCAAAAGCTGCCCGGGACCAGACTGGTTGGCGCCAGCCTTGCGCACATGCGCAAGGCGCGAATAAAGGAGATTTATGATAGGTTGTTTAGAATACTATAAAAGACCTGCGAGCCTGTTGGGTTACTGAGTGGTAACGTGGATCAAATAAAGAAGAACTTGGTTACAACGTGAGTGCGTGTCGCTTCAATGCTGTGAACCCCAAGACGTAAAAAAAACCCAACATAGCTAAAGAACCAGCAGCTGTGATTTGACATTGTTGTGAATGTATAATAATATATTAAACAATAATGATACTATTAGCATAGGATGTATGAGTTAGAAGGGTTCTTGCAGGTCATTCGTTCATCCCTCTGTTCCAACCAGGACTCCCCAGTTCTCCTCCCTTAAGCTCCCCTTGAGCGTCTCTTTTAGAAGCTGACTATTCCTGGCTCCAGTAACTGTTCTTAATGGGGCTTCCTTTCTAGATATTTTATCATCCAGGTAACTTCCTTCTGAATATGTTCCAGCTTATCCATATCCCCTTTAAAGTACAGCATCAGCTCTTAACACAGAACTCCAAATGCAATCTAAGCAGCAACAGAGTACAAGGGAACTGTTATTTCCTATTATTTAGGCACAGCACATTAGTTGTTTAGCTGCTACATTAGGTTACTTGCTCATGTTCAAACATTGGGGTACTCTTATACCTAAATTCTTCTTTTGTACCCTACTGTCAGTTTGAATTTCTCCAGTCCTATATCCATTATATAGTTTTCACTATCCTAGTTATCACACTTGTGCATACTCCTGTCTGTTGAGGTCATTTTTATGATTTTGTACTCTAAGTTATTGGCCAATCATTTTAGCTTGGTGTCATTCGCAAAATGTACAAGCATCCTTTCCATCTCATTCTTCAAATCAAATTTGTAAAGTAGAACTGAACTGATGATAGAGTTCTGGGGATGCCACTTAACACTCCCTTCAGAATGATACAGAATCATTCACAAACATTGTTTGGTATGGCTGTCAGTCAATTAAACATCAATGCTATGTACAAAAACTATTTGTGTGGAACAGAATTCTACAGAGATTCCATCTCTATTGTTCATTAATCTGATAGTAACCTTTGATTTCTACTCTATACATTGCTGCAGAGACCCCAATGCTGTTTTCCCAGATATGGACTACCAACTTCCAGAATTCCTAACCAATGACCATATACATTGGGAATTCTCAACATTCCGGTCCCAATATATATAATGAGAGCATTAGCAAAGAGGAAGTAGAAGATAAGCTCAATTGTTTTTCTCCTCTCTACTGATTTTCTCTTAAAAGTGCAATCCCTTACATTTATAAGAATGTTCTTTCCAACTGCACTCTGAAATCTGGACAAACAACTGGTTGCCTAGGATACAAATGTGTAATAGTCTAGAGAGCCACAAAACAGAACTGCTAGATGCAAGAGATGGCAAACCTTCCCATTTCCAATTTTCTCTTAAGTCTGGTCATAATCCTTTAATCTACTTTAAACAAGAGGAAAAGGACACACAAACCAGAAATGCCAACAATAGGATATGCTTAATCATTCACCAATGAAATAACATTTGTGTACTCAGTGTCTAACAGCTTACCTGAGTGTATACTAATGGTACACTGATCCAGTCATAGTGGTAAAGCATGCTGCAGTTGCCACGAAAGTGATTCAGTTCCTGGAGGGAGAGTGCAATCATCACTACTTGTGTGAGGCATGAGAACTTTCTACAACTACATATGGCTTTCCACAATGCCTTCAGGCATATGAGTAGCAATAAATGACCGTGACTTTTTCTGGAATGAGACAGAGAAATGTGATTCGCTGATTCTCCTGGACTTCTCGGTGACCTCAGAAAAAAAATTGGCTATATATCTTCCAACTTGGAAGGATGGTGTTTCAGTAGTTCCATCATCTAACTCTGGAAAGTAGGGTTAAGATATTGTTCAGCAATCTTGTGGTAGTTACACTGTAGATGTTGGGAACTGCCTGTTATATATATATATATATATATATATATATATATATATATATATATATATATATATATATCTCACTACCACTATCCACTAAGGAAGATGTAATAAGAATAAATATCTTACAGGAGTAACCTTAACAAATACATGATTACCACATTGTTTTCAAGATTCTCACATAGTTTCCTTTTTATAATCTATTCTGTGTTTTTCCCAAGTACTAAAATTATATAGCCTTGGAACTTAAATAGCATTCCTACCTTTTGATCCATTTAAAATCTAATTGGAATTGGATGCAAGATCTACTGTTTGTTCCAGATGAACATGTATATTCTACTTTGGATGTCACCCTCCTCATCTGGGACAAAACAAATGATGGCTAGGATGAGAGTTGGTGATGATGGCTCAGTGACAGTTATCAATGTATCTCAAAGAAAACTTCTCCCGGCCCTGCTTTGCAACACTAGTTCTATAGAACAGAAGTAGACAGCCTGGTGCTTTCTAGATGTTTTTGGACTACAATTCCATGCTGCTGGCCATCTTGAAGGGGACTGATGCGATCCTTCTAAAATGCCAGGTCTCTACTGTTAATAGAAGAATTTTAAGCATTATGGATGGCTGAGAAGCTACTCAGAAATGTAAGAACTTCAGAAACTAGAAGTTTCTGGGAAGTGGAAATAACTATTAAACTTAGTTTAAGTTTATAATTCAAATGCTAGGATTCCCAACCTCACCTCCATGAGCAACTTGAGAGCACAGTTGTCACGTATGCGGCCTTCTTTACGTGCCTGTGCAGCTAAGTTGGTAAACCATATGCAGGGGACCCAGTATCGATTGTAGGAAGAGTTAAGATTTTCAAATTTCTTGCGTTCCTCACGAGTCATGAACCCTTGAAGGAGATGCAAAGAAGCAGATTTATATATAATTCCACTCATGCAGTTGGTGGAATTCTTTAGGAGATACAATATCTATTCTCTTGCAGACTTCCATAGCCTAAGATATTCAGGGTGTATGGGTCTATAACAGTGGTTCTCAACCTTCCTAATGCCGCGACCCTTTAATGCAGTTCCTCATGTTGTGGTGACCCCCAACCCCCCATCCAGCTGGCCGGGGGATATCAAAAACTTGACCAAAAAAAAAAAAAAAGGAAAAAATGGGAAAGTATAGGTAGTCCTTGACTTACAACAATTCGCTTAGTGACTGTTTGAAGTTACAACAGCACTGAAAAAGCGAATTATAATCATTTTTCACACTTATGGTTGTTGCAGCATCCCCAGGGTCATGTGATTTACATTCGGATGCTTGACAACTGATTCATACTTATGACGTTCACAGTGTCCCAGGGTCACGTGATCAATGGACAGGGGGCGTGGCCAGCTGATCACTCAGGTTGCAGAGTGCCTGTGGGGGGGAATCTGTGGGTCTCTGGGATGGGACTGTGATGGGTGCCTGCCTTCCTTCCCTCCCCATGTCCCTTCCTTCCTTCTTTCCTTCCTTTCCTTCACCTCCTTCTTAGTCTCTTCCTCCTTCCCTCCCTCTCCCATTGTCCCTTCCTTCCTTCTTTCCTTCCTTTCCTTCACCTCCTTCTTAGTCTCTTCCTTCCCATCCTCTCCCATTGTCCCTTCCTTCCTTCCTTCCTTCCTTCCTTCCTTCCTTCCTTCCTTCCTTCCTTCCTTCCTTCCTTCCTTCCTTTCCTCTTTGTCCCTTCCTCCCTTCCATTGTTCCTTCCTTCCTTCCCTCTCTCATTGTTCCTTACTTCCCTCCCTCTTCGTCCCTTCCTTTCTCGCCCCCTCCCCCCGTGCCCAGGAAGGGACAAGGGGAGGGGATAGGCTGCCAGCATGACTGGGGGCTTTACTGCCGGCAAACCTACCTATGCACAGGCAGAGACAGAGGAGAGCTCGCCCAGCTCACTTGCTCAGCTTCGCCAAAAGACATGCCGCTTGCTAAGTTAGCAGAAGCTCCAGGATCAGCGCCGGGCTACAGCTGATTCGCGCTTCTGCTAAATTAGCCAGCTTGAGCAAGTTTGCTGGGCAGGAGCCAAGGAGAGCAGCTACAGCTGCAGAAGCATGGATCAGCTGTAGAGGCTTGCCCCGATCCTGGACAAGAGGGAAGGAAGGAAGGGACAAGGGGAAAGAGGGAGGGAAGGAGGGATAAAAAGGAAGGAAGGAAGGAAGGGACAAGGGGGAGAGGGAGGGAAGGAGGGACAAAGAGGGAGGTGAAGGAAAGGAAGGAAGGAAGGGACAAGGGGAGAGAGGGAGGGAAGGAGGAAGAAACCAAGAGGGAGGGAAGGAAAGGAAGTTCCAGCCAGGAGAGGCTTGGCAGCCCGGCTGCGGAGGAAAAGAAGAGCACAAAGCCAAGGAAAAGAAGGTGGCGGTTTCCTCCCAAAGGGGGCTCCTTTTCCCCACCCCTTCCCTGGGTTTGTGGGGAATTTCTCGTCACCAATGCTGACAGGTGCTCCTTCGAGCCCGCCGCGAGCTTTCTCGCCCCCTTTGCTTCTCCCCTCCTCCCCCACTTTCATGAGGATTGTGGCGCCCTTGGGAAGCTTTGAAGCTTAGGAGAGGAGGAGGAGGAGTCCCTTCCTCCTTCCCTCCCTCTCTCCCTGTCAAGCCCTAGTGGGCTCGACATGAATGGGCAGAGGAGGAGTCGAGGATGGGCGGGGTGACAAAGAAGACCGGCAGCCGTCGCCAGACCTCCCGGCTGAGAAGCGCAAGTTCGGGGGTCACCAGCTGACAAGCGCAGGAGTTTGGCGCTGCAGCAGCCTCCCCTTCGCTGACCTGCATGCACAAGAAGTCAATCCGGTTGCTGCACAATGAGTCCCTGGGGAGGGCGGGGCCTTGCTCTGCGTCTGCGCTCTTCATGCACCCCCTGCAGGGCACATTTGGTAGAGTTCATGCAGACTGCCACCAAGCAGCATATTTTCCACAAACAAGTGAGGTGGAGTGGAGGGGGGAGGGAGAGAAGATGGTTGACAAGCCCTGCCTAAGACCATCGGAAATATGTATTTTCCAATGGTCTTAGGCGACCCCTGTGAAAGGCTCATGCGACCCCCAAAAGGGTCGCGACCCACAGGTTAAGAACCGCTGGTCTATAATATTATTGTCTCCATTGGCTCTACCGATTACGGTTAATGACCATGTAGCCCAATATATCTGGATTGTACCAGGCTGAGTAAAGCTGAAAACAGGGCATTACAATGGCATTTACTGGCAACACTTTCCAAATTAAAGGATGTCCTAAACAGTGCTTACTTTTATTTTCTCCATTTTTCAGAATGTTCCCATGTCACCACCTTAGGTCAACAGGAAGATGGGCCTCCGGTGTTATACTTACCTGCTTCTACCACATGGTCCATGGTGGGAAAGCGCTTGAACACAGCAATGCTGACTGAGCGCAAGATCAAGACTGCTGACAGACTGCAATAGCGCATGAGTGTCCGTCGATAAAGCCGTCCCCTCTCATCGGCACCATGCACATTTCCAGAAATGGTACACATCAAGCGATCTGGCATTGGCATGCTGGTATACTGGCTCCACCAGCGGTTTACTACCAGTGTTACATAGAAGCCTGAGTGAATCCAAGAGATAGGAAGTTGTTTATTTATTTATTAAAACTATATTCTGCCTTTCTTCTCAAATTACATTAGAACATGACCTCCACATTCCAAATCTCATTGGAGGTAGGATTATTTTATTATAAAACCCAAAATAGGTTCTAAAAGCCAAAACTCAGCCATGCAAACATGTAAACAACACATTATAACAAATGTGTTATAAAAATGTGTGAAGTGTTTTTATTCATTCTTATTTGTATTCCACATTGCTTATTTCTCTTTTCAATAGTCAGTTCAGCATTTCATGCCCACTTAGCATTCTCAGCTTTTTCTGAACTGTCTTAGATCCCATTCCTGTCAAAGTTTTTATTTTTAATTCCTTTTACTCCTTTTACTCATTAGGAATCCAAGAATTCCTACTGCATTCTTATAATTCCATAAGAATCTGTATTCTGCAATAAAGTTCATTGCTAGTGTACATTTGTCTGAGTAGATGCCCTGTGTTTTCCTCTGAATACTGAGCAAAGGCCAAGATTTTGGAATTAAGAAAATTCCAATATCTTGGCCAAGGTTTTACTTTTTGCTTTTTAGAAATAACTGTAATTTGCTTAATAACCAGTATCCTTTACTGTGCCATTCCCTTGGCAGGATGGGAAAATGAAGGACGGAGGTTCAGATTCGAGTCTAAAACTAGAGAGTTGGGAAAATTTCATATGTAAAAAAAAAAAATCACTGCATTTTGCCCATTATCCTCGAAGCAGATGAAGAGTAGGTAAAGGATTGGAATGGAAATAGCCAGAGGAGGAGGTTGAGAAATCAAGCATCTCACCCAAAACAAAGGAGACAGGAATGAGATTGGCATACTGGTTGCAATAAATGACCACCTTTTCGAAGACCCGTTTCTGATCTTCTTTTAAGACATACCTAGAAATAGAAAGGAGAAGACCAAGATTAAGGAAGATTATTATTTGGCAGTGGCTGGCTTCCATGGACTTGATTTGAAAATTGGAATAATTGAAGGCACCATGTATCCACCGTAACACATCATGATAGACTGTTTTCACACATTTCTTAATTATCTACATTTGGCTTACTCACTTTTCAACCTCAACACATTTCAACCAGGAAGAAAAATACAGACCTATTCACACAGTGCCCCAAACAGGAGAAAGTGAAATCTCTTTTGCTCAGGGTATAATTGAAACAAGAAATTTCATGAATCAGGTTAATTACACTGTTGTTGAAAAGGGGCAACACCTTATTTACATGTAGCCTCATCACTTATTTTTATGTTACAACTGGGCCAGTAATTGAGCCAAGGTTATATAGCAAAGTTATACAAGAATTATTTTAACCATATATATCCTCATGCCAAAATATACTTTCCGGAATGAACAATGTCCTTGGGAATTTAGTATGGTATTGTATAATAACTCTTCAAATTAGAAAAGAAATTTCATAAAACCCAAATGTGCAGGTGGACTATTGATGACAATGCAAAGCTCTTGGATTGTTCTGAGAAAACAGGAGGGAAAGGATGCCTACTAATATCCTGATTTACCGATATGTAAGGCTTAATCCCAAATAGGAAACCGAGAAGACCAGGAACTCCTTGTACAGCAGTTTATAGATGCTCCCACGCCAGAGGCTCAGCAGTTTGTAGAAGCCACCAAAGCGGGCATTGGCCACCCGAGCTGTATATGTAACAGTCATGCTAGGCAGAAAGAAGCTCAGTGACTCTGCAATTGAAGGAGACCCAGAATTAGATCTTACTACATACAAACCTCTCATGCAGATCACCTTCTCTGTTTCTCACAACAGGACTTGCAGCAAAGAAAATGTTAGGTTCTTTCAGAGCCTTTCATGCCTTTTGGACACAGCAGCAGCCTCACCTTTGAGAACTTAGGTTGCCTTCCCCAACCTGATGCCTTCCAGATTGATGCCTTTCACCTCAATGCTTTCCCACAATGACAAGGAGAAACCCTGTGGGGAATCCCTTGCAAGTCCTACTGAAAAACTCTTTGAGGATACTCTCTTGAGATCACTCCCTTGACTTTCAAATGGGTGTGTTTGTAAAAGAGCTTTTCTTGCCTCAGCCCCTGCCAAAAGTGCTTTTCCATTGGAAAAAGTGATAGTAGCATCACAGGGGAGGAGTTATTACAACATCCAAACTGCTAATTGTTATGCAAGGAAGAATACTTGTTACAATGGGGAGATTAAAAAAAAAACTCCTCCCTTTTACAAAACTGCTGGTTTTAACTAGGTAGGAGAGTCAGGCCCTCAAGCCATTTTTCCATGGTAATTCAGCTATCAGCTAAAAGGAATAGCTCTGATTTGCATCTTCCTTTCTTCTTTTATGTTCTCTACAATGGCAGAGAAATCAGATACCACCTTGCAATCAAGAACGCTCCTAAGACAATACCTAGCAAATCAAAAGACATTTTTTTCTCCTTTTAAAATAACACTAAACATTAAAAATGGCAGGGAAAGGCAAGATTGCAACTGAAAGATAACATTATCTGAACACTGAAATGATCATGTAAAGTTGTACCAGCATTTGCAGAAGATTGTATAATACCGGGTACACAGAACACCTTAGGCTAAAATGTGGTTGGCTACTTTATGGTTCAGGGTTAATTCAGTAAAGTGCAGTTTAGATTAGTACAATTATTTGTTATAACAGATAGACAAAAGCAAGAAAGGTTTATGTCATCTTAAAGATGAACATTTATTGCCACATTGCTGATCAAATTCTGCTGTGTATAAAGTTGGTGTTAATAAGGTTACAGATTCAGGTTGACATCACTTAACAAGCACAACTGGGATAGGCAACACCATCACCTTCAGCAACACATCAAGTGGCACCTTTTGACCTACTGAAGGTTCCTCAAAGAATAGCAGGCATATCAGTCCTGCTCTACCAGTTTAATACTGGAATGACCCCTGCTTTGAATTTAAACAATCCTCACTGAAATAGCTTAAAAGCTTTCAGCATCAGACATTACTGTATAATGCAATGGTTCCCAACCTTTTCTATACCCCGCACCCCTAGAACGCTTCTGATATATTCTCGCAGCCCTTACAAAAGTTCAAAATAACGTCAACGAATTATGCATACTCACTATAATTTTGAAAACCCAAGTTTTTGCACACACACACACACACACACACACACACACACACGGAATATCATCTCGTAACCCCAGGGGGTGCGAGTACCCCTGGTTGGGAACCCCTGGATAACATGAAGCACAGAATACCTGATCAAAAAAGTACTAATCATTGTTTATGCATCAAATGTAGGTCTGTCATTTTTTTTAAATTTCAGCATGATTATTCTAAGCTTGATAATTTTTAGGCCTTAGTGCATTGGTTCATATCTAAGCATTGTTAGCTGCAATTGGAAACAATCTCATATTGCTGCATAACATGCCACCTCTCTTACATATTCTATGTGGTTTCCTCTGTATCAAATACTGCATGATACGCCTCCCAAGGCAGAAGTGCATCTTCTTACACTGCTATCTCTAACACCTTGATAGTGTTATAGATACCATAAACTCAATTCTGGAAAAATAGCCCCTGTATTCAATATATTGCTTTATTTATAGCAATTTGGAATCAAATGGCGCTATTGGGAGTTTCTTTCTGCACTGTCCGTATGTTGGAATAAGTTGTCTTATTTATTTCATTTTAAAATAATCTTTTCTTTACCTACGATGATTGATTGCCTTGTTAATCCCTTTTCTCCCTGACCATCCTACGAAGTAGGCATGTTAGGCTGAGAAACAGTGACTAACCCAATGCTCCTCACTTCTTGAATCTGGTTCCACATGCTAAGTTTGGCCCTCCCACAGCTGAACAGCTTTATCTCTCTACAGGTGTTGTTAGCTGAGCATTTCCTATTGGCATCCTTCTTGTGGGCAAGAGAAAGGGCTGTTATTCCCAACAGAAAATTTGTGGATAATGTACAAACGTACAGTAAGTACAGCATTCAAATACAAACATTTTAATAAGTGTTATAATCAAATCTCAATCAAATAAAGGTCCCAAGATGGGGAAAAATATGCAGCATTCCCACGATTAATACATAAATATTCAAAAGAGTAAAAAGCAGTCCTTTACAAGTTATAGGCCGTATACAATAGCAAGGAGAGAAGTAAAACAAAACCTGCCAGGATTCCCACAACACTCCTTTGGGGGGGCCGAGATAATCTTGCCAATACTTCAGCTTTTTGTTTAAAGCAGTTGGGTTTACAGATGGTGGATCAAAGTACTAGACATCTGCTAGGCAACTTTGTACCAATCACTCCTTCCAAGCCCAACCCAGACTATTGTAGGGGGAAAAACAGGATATAGGATTGCAGGATAGGCCACTGAGAAAATGCAGGCTACAAATCTAATAAAAGATCTTCTGTCACATGGAAGTACAGCAATTTAGCTGGATTGTTGACATTTTTATTGGTAGGAGTTCTGCATTTGGCAAAATACGTAGCATTCATCAGAAGATCTTCTCTTGCAAAATCTTCGGGCACAGCTGTAGCCTTTTCCCTTTTTATCCTGAGTTAATTAGTTGCTCCTTCAAGCCAATTAATAGAGCAAGCCCTTGAACTCTAAGAGAGACCTCTAAATATACTTTAAAGGGGGTCTGATTTAATCTTTCGCAAGCACACCCTTACCTTCTCCAGATCTAGCAAGGCTTCTCTCATCTGGTACATTCTTTTCAGAGATTTCCCCTCCCTACTTGCTATCCCAAGAAGAATTGAGAAATCGGATGCCTTCCCCTGGGGGGACAACAATCAAATCTTCTTGGATTAACAGTGGAAGGTAAAGCCTTTGAAGGAGGGCAACTTCCCAGACTATCTAAATGAGTTCTTCATTAATGAGTAAATGCTAGCCAATTTTTTTCCCCTTAACTAAAGTCTGGCTGTCGTACAATTGACCACTTACTGAGATTCAACCCATAAACAAATATCAAAAAATCCAGAGTGTTCTTCCTTCCATCTTTCTTTCTTTCCTTCCTTTCTTTCCCCAGGAGCAGTTGGGGGATGGAAGAACTGAAAACATGAGTAAGAGAAGACTGATCTTCAAACCAAAACATTGATCTTAGGTGAGATGAGTCTTAATGTCTCGAAAATGGAGATAATGCAATAGCATCTTGGTTAGCAAGTTTGGTCTGCATGCAACTATGCTAGAGCCCATACAGTACCTGCAGAAAGTTCTTTCTCAGAGTCAGAAAGTCTAAATGATCCCAATGTCTGGAATCAAACTGATCACCTTAGGCACAGGTAAGTTTTCTGCATGCTGCATCAATTAATGGGAGAACTCGGGAAATGGAAACATTTCATTCCTCTAGGATTTATGTTGTCTAAGTCCCTACAGGAAAGCAAAAGACTCTCATAGTAGTTGATAGACCAAAGAATATAGTATAATCTTTTCTGAATCTACTACAATGTAGTTCTCCCTTGGAAAACGGCCTCAAGAGAAACATTCAGCGCAGTTTCTACCAGTTCCAAGGAGATGGGGTGGGGTGGGGTGAACAATTCAGGCAATAAGTACTGTCCTTAGCCTATCATTGCATATGTAGCACCAGACTCTGAAGGTCATTAAAGGACTGCAAAAATAATTTTAGAATGATCTTAAATATATTGTCATGCTAAATATGTGTAAATTAGACTATAAATAGTCTGATATTTTCATTCATCCTTATTGCTTAAAGCATCTTTAGAATGGGTATCAATATTGAGTTAATACAGTTCCTATAAAATTCAAACTTTCAGGGTCACAGACTAGGCTAAAGCACTGTTTTTCTTTCTTGGCAAGCATGATGCCTGGGGGATTCTGGGAGCTGATTTCTATCCGTCTTCAAATTGCCAAGGTTAAGAAACACTGAACTAGAGAAATGTAACAACTCCAAGCTAATTGACAATAAAGAAGAGACAGGACTTTCCTCCAGATTTCAGCCCAAAATTCAATACTGGAATAAATATAAATGCCTCCAAGGTTTATATTTCTAGGTTTATCACTCTGCTCCTACCCGTATACCGACGAAAGAGGAGAAGGCAAGCACTTAAACCTTACAGCCTCCAATCCCAAACCACATGAAGGCCAACTAAAAACATCTGTAAGTAAATTTTATAAATTATCTCAGCTTAAAGAAGCCATAAGCTTGTAACAACATTGACAGGATACAAAAGTTTATAAAGCAAGGAAAAAGAACCAGCTCCTTGCAGGAACAGAGAACCCCAAACAAACCATTTTAACACTAACCTGTGCAAAAGATTTTTTGCTGTTTTGCAGTTGCCTTCAGCCAGGGTACCTGCAGGAACAGACTGGTTTGCAAACTTCCCTGACAATGATTTTCAGATCCAAACTTCATTAGGGGATGCAAGTGTTGGAGATAAGGTGCCAAAAAAGGGAACAGCTCAGGCAGCCCTTACAGGTTTTTAAATACTTACATATCTAACCCTTTGAAATGTGAATTGACCTTTTACAACCCACCCACAGGTAAACTCTTTGATTGCTAGGCATCTGAACCTGGATTGAGAGGAGAGAGGTAAGAAATGGGAACTGAAAGCCTGCAAGAGTTGTTGCAGGCACAAAAAGGCAGGTTTATTTTTGAGTCAGTTTTAAGAGGAAGGGGGATGAACTGCAGAATGGTGGAAACTTTAGGATGAAAGAAAAGAGACAGTCCTGAGGTAACAATATGAATATTATAATATATAACATGAAATTACACTTGATGCATTTAAACCAATGTAAAAATACAGAGCCAAACAGCAAAAGGATGCATGGTAGTATATAGTAAAACCAAGCAAGCTATAAGGAATATCTGTTTCAGTCAAAACCTCAGTATGACAAAAACAACAACAACCCTACATACAAACACTTCAAAGGTGAAAGCCAAATCCCAAGAAAGGGAATTCCAAAACCTGCACTGCTAATTAAGTAGTATCAGTTGCAACTTTAAAGATAGCTACAGGATGGGTAAATTTATAAGATGGAAGATCAACTCTTAAATATACTAAACCCATCCCTAGTACATGCAATTTCTCATACTGTGCTCAGCAATAAATGTTATGGGGAAAAGAGTTCAGTTGGAGGAAGGAAAACTTGACATGACCTTGAATCCTTACCATTCAGCTTTCTAACCTCATCGCTTACAGTACTATTTTAAATTGGTTTTCTGCACTGATGATTTAGTTTGGGAATGAGCTACACATGGAAGTTGCATCTCTATAAACAATCTCAGGCTGTTTTAAAACCAGCCAATAATAGGCTGGTGAAAGAATTTATAATCCTTTTTTTTCTACTTGAAACCTGATGGAACCATTCTTCCCTTTGGGCCTTTTTCTCCCTCCGTGTTTAACAAATCAATACCTTCAGGGTTTGGTTTGTAGAGCAAAGATGAACCATGCAGACAGTTACATTGCCATGGAAAGTAGGACGAGAAAAATAAAGTGGAGAGGCAAAGGAATTACTTTCTCATAAGCACATTTAAGTGCTTGCGGTTACATATATTTACTCCCATCTCTTTTGCATTTTTTCCATCTTTAGCAGCGTTTCTCAACATTTGTGTGACGGCGACCCCCGTCACACAAATGCTATGCGCATGCGCAGTGCGGCGCCGCCCCCGGAGGGGACAAAATGGCGGATCGCCGCCTTTGGCGACCCCCGAAAAGTGGTCGATCGACCCCAAATGGGGTCGTGACCCATAGGTTGGGAACCGCTGATCTTTAGGGATAGGATTTAGATATTAAATAGGAATATGGAAATTATCATTCCTATGTTCTCTCAAAACATTTCTAGTTATAGAGCTGTACACCAGCTGTAGTGATTCTGGTGATGTGTTATCATCCTTGATGACTGAAGCTGCTATATGAATCATATTTCTTATATCTGTGTGATTGGCTTTGCCCATTCTACCTGATACTATTAGATATTGCTACATTCTGGTGTGCATCAGGTTGTTGAGTTTATTTACTAGATTCATATCAAGCTTTTCTTCCAGGAAAAACACTGATAGAGGAATCTTCCTTAGTTTCATCGTCACAACATATCTATGAGATAAATGGGGCTGAGAGTGAGTGATAGGCCAAAGTCAGCAATTCAGTTTTCATGGCTGAAAGTAGACTTGAACTTGGTACTCTCAAGTCCTAGTCTTATCCTAGTCACCATACCATACTGGCTCCCTTAGTAGTTCTTCGAAGAAGCAGATTGCCATAGACATATGGTTTGTGACTCTGATAGAAGAATGCAAACACCACAAAATCAGTGTACCCTAGCTTTGTTTCTTGGAAGACATGCCAAGACTAACCCTTTAAAAAGATCATAAGAGTCTAGAGCCTATCAAAATGAGACAGTTCTCAGTCTTTTATAGCAAAATAGACAGGATTTTAGTCAACCAAGAAGCATTATTCATAGAATTTGCACAATATACTAGGTTACACTATGATGTAGTACGTCATTCAATATATTGTGCAAGTCCAGCCAGTATGGCTTGTTTAATAATTCAGTATATTGTGAGAACCAGGCAATTGGGTTAATTCAAAAAGACATGTTCTGTTAAATGCAAGTTTAAACCTATAAGGTTGCTTGTTTTGAATTAGGCTGAACAGCTATTCCAACTATATTTTCTTGGCTTGTTACAGAATTTATCATCTCCAAATTCAGGGATCAATTTTAATGTAAATTAATAACAAACACAACAATAAAAGTACTTTAAACTCTATGTAAGGAATAAAAAGTAAAATCATATAGTCAAATACATATTTAAAAAGTAAAGGTTTCCCCTATTCAGTTGTGTCTGATTCCAGGGGCAAGCTAACAATTAAAATATTAATCTCCCAACGCTTAGCCTTAAATCACAATTCTTTTCATGTTATAAATGAGGAACTGAGTTTTAAAAGGAATCATTTCTAAACTTTGTCACTGAGGTACAATTTGTGTTCTATATCCCATATAAAGCCTTTTTTGGTCAAATACCAATTACATGATTTTGTTTCTAGAAATGACATGAACTCTCTTCTTACAGCTACTGTTTTGCTCTAGAAGGCTTTGTCCCCAGTGATGCCCACTAGATACATCGGGCTTCAAGGCTGTACTGCCTGAGAGTTAGAGAAGTCAAAGGCCAGCCTATCTGAACTGACCTAAGTAAACCTATGGATAGAAAAAACAGCATTCTTTACCCAGCAACAAGACAATAACAAGAAGCAAGCCCTGCTTTGCCAGCCATTCACGGTCTATGGCCTAATCCATGCCCAATGCCCATTACAAACCTTACAGAAATTTCCAGAGATGCATCATCTGCATTCAACAGCTCCTGTATTCAGTGTGGTATGGGAAGCTTAGCTGGTTGTAAAATAAACTGGGCAGGTACCTGCTAAAGCCCAACCCTAGCAATTGAATGGATGCATACTCCAGATAAATACTCTTAAGTGATTAAACTAGCATGGCAACCTCTAATTTCAAAGCCGCACACTGGGATATGACTCGTTTAAGGCACGTAAGGTAGAAATATACAATACATTCTGTGATTAGGATACTCCATCACATAATTTATTGTAAAGAAAGAGTTCTTTCTCATAGCAAGATAGAATTTTGACCGAAGCCACCTAATAAAGGAATAGTATTTGAGTAAAATTTAGAAGTTGGGAAAGAGGGAGATGAGTAACATACAATTATGTAACCCAGACAACTTATTTTTCTTATCTAGTGTATCATTGATAATATCTAGAATATAATTGATTTAATTGGTTTAAGGGGAAATCAGACCGCACTGCTTAGCATTTTACCTAGTTCACAGTCCTTACCAGTAAAACAAGAGCACTGTATATCAGGATTGTGCAAAATTCTAGGATTGGCTCTGGACCAGAGTAGCAGAGCTGAATCGAATTATTTGATTTATTGGAACTTCAGCAAAGCTACTATTTCATTTTGACTTACTGTGACTCTGCAGACCTGATCATAGTCCCTTTTTCCTTTGGCAGGAACATTTGCTTCATCCCTCCTTCCACAGACTGGGCTCTTTCCCCAAGCACAAGTTTGCCTGTGTGCATTGTTGTTTACTTCTCTCTTTCTTCCCAACTGCTGCAGCGATATGCAAACATGGCCACAGTTATTAAGAAAAGCATCTGATTGCAAATTGCCAGATGTATGAATTCTTGCATCTTTCCAATTCAGGGACTTACAAGTGCATCAAAGAAAACCTTTGGGAGATTTTGCTTACGTTTTTCATATTCCACTGTCTCTCCTCAAGTATAGATTGCTATCATAGCAACTAAATGAATGCTTTTTGTAAACTACTAGATAAACATTAATGTACAGGTAGTCCCCGGCGTGCAACCACAATTGAGCCCCCAATTTTTGTTGCTAAGTGAGACATTTATTAAGTGAATTTTGTCCCATTTTACAACCTTTCTTGCCACAGTTGTTAAGTAAATCACTGCCATTGTTGTTATGTGAATCCGGCTTCCCCATTGACTTTGCTTGTCAGAACCTCAAAAGGTGAACACATGACCCCGGGACACTGCAACAGTCATAAATGTGAATCAGTCTGAATTTTAGTCACATTACCATGGGGATGCTGCATCAACCGTAAGTGCGAAAAATGGTCATAAGTAACTTTTTTCAGTGCTGTTGTAACTTTGAACGGTCACTAAATGAATTGTTGTAAGTCAAGGACTACTGTACTAAAAAAGGGGGAAGAAACAGCATGGTAGTTCAGGTGACAGGAAATAGATTGTGCAATATGTGTTCCACCCTCCTATTAATCATATATATAGTGAAGACATCAAGGAATTGATTTTAAAATGCTTTATGTGGCAGGGAGAAAACAGTGGTGAGAAAAGTCCCTATGTTATGCAATTATAGGTGTGACTATTCATTCAGCAACTATTAAAAGTTACTATAGTGCTGAAAAAGTGGGACTTATGACTAGTCCAGGGATAGGCAATCTTGGCTCTTTTATGACTTGTGGACTTCAACTCCCAGAATTCCTGAGCCAGCCATACTGGCTCAGGAATTCTGGGAGTTGAAGTCCATAAGTCATAAAAGAACCAAGGTTGCTTACCCCTGGACTAGTCCTTGAAATTCCAGCCATCCCAGTCAGTGGTGGGATTCCGCCAGTTCACACCACTTCGGCAAAACCAGTAGCTAATTTTTTGTTGCCCAGGCCCAAAGTGGACTTCCGAAAGCAGCATCTACACAGAGAACCGGTTGTTCACCTATTTGAATCCTACCAGTGATCCCAGTACCCCCTTCCAGTCCTGTGATCATGATCAGGGTGCTTAGCAACTGGATTGCACTTATGACTCTTGCAGTATCCCATAGTAATTGGGTTGTCATTTGCGACCTTCCCTGCTAGCTTTCCACAAGCAAAGTCAGT